ACAAGGTTATATTTGTTGGATAGCAGCATCTACATATCAAGATAAGACAATTCAATATCCATAGGGTGATATTTGTTGAGAAGCAGCATCTAAAAATTCAGATAATACAATTCAATATTCACAAGGTGATATTTGTTGGATAGCAGCATCTACATATCAAGATAAGACAATTCAATATCCATAGGGTGATATTTGTTGAGAAGCAGCATCTAAAAATTCAGATAATACAATTCAATATTCACAAGGTGATATCTGTTGGATAGCAGCATCTACATATCAAGAAAAGACAATTCAATATCCATAGGGTGATATTTGTTAAGAAACAGCATCTAAAAATTCAGATAATACAATTCAATATTCACAAGGTGATATTTGTTGGGTAGCAGCATCTACATGTTCTGAATAATACAATTCAATGTTATTAATTAGTAAACCCTTAGTGTTAGCATCATTTCAAGAAGACAGTCTAATGCGAAACGCAGGAACATAAATACTCTTATGAACGTCAGTTTCGGGGACATGTGATCGACCTCTCGTCCAATGGAAAAGCCGAATATCTTGTAAACTATCTATCTATCTATGTAATAAATCGTATTTTAGCAAAAAACAAATTGGTGGTTGACACGTGAATCAAAGTTGTCAGAGCTGCCTATAGGTCTTAGAGTTGTGTCCCGTTAAAACTGCATGGATGGTTAGAACTGATTAGGTAGATGCAAGGGGAGTGAGCCTTGACATTGTCAATAGTGGTCATAGTAGAGGTGCGATGTGAGTGACATAGTTACTTCATTTCTAGACAACCTTACTTTTCACGCTGAGACGATTAGAAATATTATGTTTGAGTGAGTGGTTCTTCGTCGCTTTTTGCAATATTCCATCAATGGGCGGGGGACACCAGATATAGGTTTCACACTCTGTACCAAGGTGTGGTATCGAGCCCATCCTTCGGCGCAACGAGCGATCTCCTTAACGACAAGGCCACCCCAACGCCTCTTTAATGTTTGAGTCTATTATTTAAGTGCATATGGTAACTATTGCAGGAACCATTTCTCACTTTTGTCTTAAAGACAGAGTATTTTTGAACGTGCTGTACACTAGTGTAAAGTTTAAAAACACAATGTCTTAAATGTGTCTTGGTGCTTGTCATCTGTCACCAATGTCCCATGACACACGACTAAGTCCGTCATGCGCATAGTACATACATACATTTACACGCAAACACGAGAAGAGAGAATGCATATTCCCACCAACTAATTCCCTCAACCAAACAACTCTATTGACGCCACGAATGGTTTACAGCTTGTGAATGCCCGTCTTTGACTGTCAATGAATAAACAATGCAGTTTTAATGAAGAGAGACTTTTGGAGTGAAACTTTGTGGCGTGTCTGGAGAAGGACAATAGACAACGAATGAGCATCCAGGTGAGACACACTACCTTTGTTCGTCGCATCTGATGCTCATCCTGAGATGATTGTCTGGTTTTGAACTCATGACTGATCAGACAAAAAATCTATGTCAGTTAGTGTAGAACCAAGACGACAATTATACTGATGTTCACAAACGTTGAAATTAACGAGACTGTCTTGAGGATATCTGTTTCGTGGAACATGTCTTGGTTATGTCTATACATATCATTAGTTTGCCCATGGCATAACATGGCTCATTACGAAACAACAGAATGGTAAAGTGTGTTGAAAATAGCTGTCTTTAACACAGTCCCTTGTGGTTATGACGTTTAAATTGTATATGCAATTATACCGTAGAAATGATCATAGGAACAAGTAACTACTGCATTATACATGACTTTGGTGTATATCCTGAAGTCGTTTCTATAGATTCGGCATTTCAAATATGAAACTCTCTGGTTGATATTGGTGGATATATGTGTACGTGTGTTGTAAATAACGAGGTGTTCGCATGCGTTTCTTGTCTAATCCTATTGGTTTAAAGGATCGTTTCCTATTGATTGTATGCTATTCTCACCACTAAGCCAGGTCAGCAGGTGATGCCAAAACGTGCAGGAAATGCTCACATTGCAGTGAACAGGTGACTTGACTCAAACATATTGACACAGCAAAGATCCGGTTATGAATCAAGGTTATGGGGACCTGATGCAGACCACGAGATGTATAATTGTATTCGAAATCAAGTTCCTTGTCTGAGCTTTATTATGTAAATAAATATACCATTTTGCCGTAACACTGAAAATCTCCGTGATGTCTATTGTAAGTGAGGTTTGCAGTGGCATAATTTGGATATTCATCTACATGCAAAATGTCAACAGTTGTAGAAACCTTTTCCTCCTGTGGTATGTCTTACGTTGTGTAAGTTATCTAGGCATTATTTGGATAATCATCTTTATGTAAAATGTCAACTGTTCTAGAAACCTTTTCCTCTTTTGGGATGTGTCAAGTTTTGTAAATTTTGTTAGCATTATTTGGATATTCATCTAAATATATAACGTCAACAGAAACCTTTCCCCTTGTAGTAAGTCTTATTTGTTTGTTTATTTGTTGTTTAACACCATACTCAGCAATATTCCTGCCATATGACGGCGGTCCGTAAAAAAATCGAATCTCGACCAGGCAAGCCAGTGACATCATGAGCATCGATCCATTGGGATACGATGACACGAATCATCCAATTCAGCGAGTCTAACCACCCGATCCCGCTAGTCGCCTCTTACGACAAGCATAGTCGCCTTTTACGACAAGCATGGGTTGCTGAAGACCTATTCTACCCCGGATCTTCACGGGTCCCTTGTTGTACACTCTTCAAAAAAAGAAGCGCACAGGTAGAATTTTAGTAAATTTATTGTGCCTAATAAAATCGATATATTTAATTTAATATCATAGATATACATGTGAAGCTCGATAGTCACGTGTTATCGTTGTACAAAGGCATTGAAAACTGTTCATTGTCATGTAACATAAGGCCACAAGATTGCGCTGAACTCAGTATCTCGTGTGACCGTCCCGGGCAGCAATCACGGCTCTGCATCTCCTCGGCACTGACTGGATAAGTGTACGAACTCTGTCCTGCTTGTAACGCGTTGGCAAGTTGTTGGAGTGTCTGCGGTGTGTTCTGACGTTGACGTGCCCGTCGATCGAGTTCATCCCAGAGGTGTTCGATTGGGTTGAGTACTGGAGATCTCGACGGCCAGGTCAAGGCGTTGATGTTGGCATTATGGAGGTAGTCTACCGTGACACGCGCTGTCACGGAGCGTTGGAGCGTTGGCGGTCAATGATTGGAAGAAGGTGGGGTTGAAGAATTTGATTCATGTAGCGATTTGCTGTCAAATTTCCATTAACCACAACCAAGTCAGATCTCCTTGTGTAGGATATGGCCCCCCACACCATGACACTACCGCCACCGAATTTGTCGAATTCACGCACACATTGTGGGGCAAAACGCGCGTTTCGACGACGATAAACACCTTGTCTACCATCTCGCCGGTGAATAAGAAATCGTGATTTACCGCTAACCAACACTCGTCAACCAACGCAAGCGTCGCTGTCAATGGATCTGTTGCAAAATTGGGACGATAACTGGTCTTCTGGATTCCAGGCTCGCGAAGATGGTTCCTGACATTCTGGTCCGATATCCTCCTCAAACCAGGGGGATGCGTCCTGCAGTTTCCGTAGCTGTGGCATTGCAATGACGTGGGTGGAACAGTCGAATGTAGCAATCATGTGCAGGGGTGGTAACTCTTGGTCGGCCGGTTCTCGGACGGTCTGCAGTGGAATTGAACTGCGTGTATCGGTCCCAAAGGCGACAAATGGCGCTGTGGTGGACGTTGAAGTGGCGTGCAACAGAATACTGCGATTCCCCTCTTTGGATACGTCCTATGGCGATATTCGGCTGTCTCGGCATTTTCGAACTTAAAAAATGTTGACAATTAAATGACAATTTATTGCCTTATGCTTGCCTTTTTATAACCACTACCACAATTTACGAATGCCATTATTTGCACGTGCATTTTGCTTTACTGTTTTCCTCCATGACATTTTTTAACTTCGTGAAAACAATGCCGTTTAAGGCATTGCAAATCGACAATGGCTTAGTTTTGATAAACCGTTTTTTTGAATATCAGGCCACCAACATTTTCCAATAACATATATCCAATCTATATACCGGATTTTGTACGTTTTTTTAGAAGAGTGTGTGTGTGCTACGTCTTGTAGGTTACCTAAGCATTATTTCGATACTCACCTAGTTCTAGAAACTTTTTTCATATTAAGATCTCTTTTGAGATATTTATGCATTATTTGACTATTTATAAGATAGTTCTTGAAAAGGCGTTGTTGGTGCCTTAAGATATGATATTAATTTGTACAACAGTCAATTGTTAAACTTTACACTATAATGTTGGATCAATAGATCATTGTCTTAGAGCTTTGTTAGTCGAGCCTTGATTATAAGATCTAGACCTTCTAAACTATCATCTTAAAAGTGAATGTCCATGGTCGTCCTCGAAAGGTGAGTGAGTGAGTGTATGTGTGAGTGTCAAAGAAGGGATTTATGCCACCTGTAACAATATCGTCGTCATATCGCGACGGGGGACACCAGAAATGATTTTCACATATTTTACCCAGGCTGGGAATAAAACCTAATTCTTCAGCGTGACGAGCAAAGACTTTAACCACAAGGCTACTCCCAAAAAGACGTTATCTTAGGGCGGCCATGTTTGATTTTAAAAGAGAAGCGTAAACCGTGGCGCGAGGGAAGGTAATCGGATATCAGCACTAGTGAGTTATGGCCATGTTTTGAAATTTCCCTGGGCGTTCGTTAAAATACCTGTGTATACAAAACACTAGAGGTAGATAAGATCTGGCGTCGACATACGGGTACCTGAATGTCGGAGGTCGAATCATACACACAATGTTGGTGCAATGCTGATAGACGAGTTCATTTCTGTAGAGGGGGGGTTTGGAAAACATCCCAATGGTGAAATGCACTTCGTCAAGGGTGTATCAGTGTCTGTGTCACTTTGAAAGATACGTGGATAGCATTTGATAACAAGCTCCCCTGTGAGCAATAATAGTTTTCCCATTAATGTGTATATGATATGATACCTGCCCCAAAGGGCCGGTCTGTAGCTACAGTGTAACCTCGTATCAACACATCTGATTACCCAGATCGATAGTCGGAAATAACGTGTGATCTGAGACGCGCCCAGTACGCTACAGTATAACGCTACCTGTGTAATTGAATCTGTCTCTTCTGGCGGCATAGCTTTGGTGTTACAGGTGTAACGTGATGTTGTAACAACTGTGTTGGACCAGATTCTGACATTACCATATCAAGAATGGCTGACATGATGGACTTTGTCACCTAGATGGTAAGTATCTTCATGTAAGTTATTCTGAAGTAATTATATCAGCACGTCGTGGGGGTTATTGCCCAGGTGAAATTTGTTCTGTTCAACTGTTCAGGTGTGGACTCAGGTTATAGGAGTTGCGTCATGAACCATGTTGACATGGGTATTTTGGGAAGAACATGAAATAAATTCATATCGTAATGCCCAATTGTTCTCACGTTTACATGTATCTAACCCAGTTTGAGACTGTCGGTTTGTATCAAATTGTTCATTTCATGACGTCATTATATTCTCATTGAGCGAATGTTATAAATGACTAGCCAGGGTTCTCTCTTTTTAAAGACCGATGACATACTAGATTATTTTCAACTTTTTCGAATTACAAACATTTGGGATAAAGCAAATAAAATGACAGAACTTATTGTTATAACATAATAAATTTACATAGGTCACTGTTCTGTTAGTATTTGATTCGGAAGCTTTAAAATCCAATTATGTTATCTGCAGCTGAGATGCTGCGCTCAAGCAGCAGCCAGTAGTCCTGCCATAGAAGAAAAATATACATTTTATTACATTCCTAATTGATTTCTTGAACAGGCATGGGTCCGGTGTTATGTTATTTTTTTCAGACAATCTGCAGTTGTAAAGGTGTATGACTACTACAGTAGCGTATTGATCGTGTATGTCTACTACAGTAGCTTACTGATCGTGTATGTCTACTACAAAGGGTACTGATCGTGTATGTCTACTACAGTAGCGTACTGATCGTGTATGTCTACTACAGTAGCGTACTGATCGTGTATGCCCACTACAGTAGCGTACTGATCGTGTATGTCTACTACAGTAGCGTACTGATCGTGTATGTCTACTACAGTAGCGTACTGATCGTGTATGTCTACTACAGTAGCGTACTGATCGTGTATGTCTACTACAGTAGCGTACTGATCGTGTATGTCTACTACAGTAGCCTACTGATTGTATATGTCCACTACAGTAGCGTATTGATCGTGTATGTCTACTACAGTAGCCTACTGATCGTGTTTGTCTACTACAGTAGCGTACTGATCGTGTATGTCTACTACAGTAGTGTACTGATCGTGTATGCCCACTACAGTAGCGTACTGATCGTGTATGTCTACTACAGTAGCGTACTGATCGTGTATGTCTACTGCAGTAGCCTACTGATTGTATATGTCTACTACAGTAGCACGCTGATGGTGTATGCACACTACAGTAGCGTACTGATCGTGTTTGTCTACTACAGTAGCCTACTACATAGGGTACTGATCGTGTATGTCAACTACATAGGGTGCTCATCGTTTATGCCTACTACAGTAGCGTACTGATCGTGTATGTCTACTGCAGTAATGTTCCGATCGTTTATGCCAGCTACAGTGGCGTACGTTATTTTTGAGAGGGAAGTGTCTATTGAGTTGCTCCCCATAGATTTAGCTGGGGAACGCAGATAAAGGCAATGGTCGAATAATCGCATCCAAAAGTGGGAGAGATATGACATTCTGTAATGGGAGAAAAGGTACAGGTAGTCGACGTGATGATTGTGAGAATATGCGGGAAATACCAAACTCAACCCACCTGTTCATAAAATGAACCGTATTTTTTTCAGGGAGTCATCGTTATCAAAACACGGGTAAGATGTTTTTAAGGTTGTACATTTTATCAACATTCTTAAAGGGGCTGTAAAAAATGTTGATATCTCATATCGCCCGTCATTGTTTATTCTCCCTGCTGTGTTTTATTGTACGATAACGACCACGAGTCGTTTATTTCTTAGATAAAGTACAGTTTATAATAGTTCAGGGCAACAGTATACTTTATAACACTAAACATGGAGGTAGAGCAAACTTTGTTACTTTGCTAAGATTAATCTTATGTTTTATTGGAGATGCGTTTAACAAGAAACCTGTAATGGGCGGTGCCTTAAATTGAAAATCCACGAACAGGACTAAGTGACGAGTTGTTCCACCTAATTGCTTGCACCCTTACATTTAGAGACAAAAGGCGTTTTGAACATAATAAACTTGGTAGTTTTTGGTTTCACATTTTATTATTATTCCTGATTATCCATAACCCCATGCAGCAATAAGATGGATTTATGTTTACGTTTTCATAATAATTTGCTTTAGTGTAATCACGTGACTGGAAACATTCCACAAGTGCATTGTGGGGCCGAGCTAACTCGTGTCAACACAGTCGGTGTCGCCGGTTATTGTTTGTTAATGTGTTTTTCTGTCGTAAAAGTTGCAACTTTGTTTCCACGACTAATGTTAGCAGACTGACTCAACTGCAAGCCATGAAATGCTGCGTTTGCCGAGTTGGTAGCACTACATGAAACCGTGAATCGACGGTCGTGATATGGTATCGCGTCGGGATTAACATGGCGGAGGAAGCGCAACACCGGTCGTTCAGTTTGACTGCAGTATCTTGCTAAATACCCGAAAATTGAGCAAAAGCAGGATTATACTACAGTAGCGTACTGAGCGTCAGTGTATACAACAGTAGCGTACTGAGAGTCAATGTATACAACAGTAGCGTACTGAGCGTCTGTGTATACTGCAGTAGCGTACTGAGCGTCAGTGTATACTACAGTAGCGTACTGAGCGTCTGTGTATACTGCAGTAGCGTACTGAGCGTCTGTGTATACTGCAGTAGCGTACTGAGCGTCAGTGTATACTGCAGTAGCGTACTGAGCGTCAATGTATATTACAGTAACGCACTGAGCGTCTGTGTATACTGCAGTAGCGTTCTGAGCGTCAATGTATATTACAGTAGCGTACTCGGCGTCTGTGTATACTGCAGTAGCGTTCTTAAAGTCAATGTATATTTCACTAGCGTACTCGGCGTCTGTGTATACTGCAGTAGCGTTCTGAGTGTGTGTATACAACAGTAGCGTTCTGAGTGTCAGTGTATATGACAGTAGCGTACTGAGCGTCTGTGTATACAACAGTAGCGTTCTGAGCGTCTATGTATACAACAGTAGCGTACTGAGCGTCTGTGTATACAACACTAGCGTTCTGAGCGTCAGTGTAGATTACAGTAGCGTACTGAGCGTCTGTGTATACTACACTAGCGTACTGAGCGTCTGTGTATACAACAGTAGCGTTCTGAGCGTCAATGTATATTACAGTAGCGTACTGAGCGTCTGTGTATACTACAGTAGCGTACTGAGCGTCTGTGTATACTACAGTAGCGTACTGAGCGTCTGTGTATACAACAGTAGCGTACTGAGCGTCTATGTATACAACAGTAGCGTACTGAGCGTCTGTGTATACAACAGTAGCGTTCTGAGCGTCAGTGTATATTACAGTAGCGCACTGAGCGTCTGTGTATACAACAGGAGCGTTCTGAGCGTCTGTGTATACAACAGTAGCGCACTGAGCGTCTGTGAATACAACAGTAGCGTTCTGAGTGTGTGTATACAACAGTAGCGTACTGAGCGTCTGTGTATTCAACAGTACAGTACTGAGCGTCTGTGTATACTGCAGTAGCGTTCTTAGCGTCTGTGTATATTACAGTAGCGTACTGAGCGTCTGTGTATACAACAGTAGCGTACTCAGCGTCTGTGTATATCACAGTAGCCTTCTGAGCGTCTATGTATACAACAGTAGCGTTCTGAGTGTGTGTATACAACAGTAGCGTACTGAGTATCTGTGTATACAACAGTACACTACTGAGCGTCTGTTTATACAACAGTAGCGTTCTGAGTGTGTGTATACAACAGTAGCGTACTGAGCGTCTGTGTATACAACAGTACAGTACTGAGCGTCTGTGTATACTGCAGTAGCGTTCTGAGCGTCAATGTATATAACAGTAGCGTACTGAGCGTCTGTGTATATTACAGTAGCGTACTCAGCGTCTGTGTATACAACAGTAGCGTACTGAGCGTCAGTGTATATAACAGTAGCGTTCTGAGCGTCAATGTATATTACAGTAGCGTACTGAGCGTCTGTGTATACAACAGTAGCGTTCTTAGCGTCTGTGTATACAACAGTAGCGTTCTGAGCGTCAATGTAAATTACAGTAGCGTACTGAGCGTCTGGGTATACAACAGTAGCGTTCTGAGCGTCAATGTCAACTACATTAGCGTACTGAGCGTCTGTGTATACTACAGTAGCGTACTGAGCGTCTGTGTATATACTACATTGGCTTACTGATCATGTATGTGTACTTCATTATTAAATATTCCTGAATGCTTTATACTGAATTTCGATTGCCATTTAGAAGTCATCCAGTTTTATCGAGTATTTATTGTTTCTAAAAACATTCAAGGGCTATTTCTTGTCCCGTAAACAGTAATAAAGTCGTTAATAAAGTTTGATTTATTTGTATTTGAACTTGTAAGAATATTGTACTATATTAATATTATAAAATTGTACAATAACGTACTACGGTACCTGTTAAGGACTGTGATTAAAGCATTAAGTTGGATTTTGGTTGGTTTATTTAACGCCGCACCCAGCAATTTTCCAGCTATATGACGGCAGTCTATAAATAATCGAGTCTCGACCAGACAATCCAGTGGTTGACATCATGAGCATCGATCCACGCAATTGGGATACGATAACGTGCATCAACCAAGTCAGCGAGCCTGACCACCCGATCCCGTTAGTCGCCTTTTACGACAGGCATGGTCGCCTTTTACGGCAAGCATGGGTTGCTGAAGACCTATTCTACCCCGGACCTTCACGGGTGGATTACAGCATTTAGTTCTCATTTGCATTCGTGTATTAGGGTCCGTCAGTCATGTCATATGTTATCTCGAGATATCCAATTTACGTTGTTGACGTACAATTGCGCAGTTGCTTACAATCAACTTGATTCACGGGCCTTTCTAGTATATGTGGGGCGGTCGGGTAGCCTAGTGGTTAAAGCGTTCGATCGTCACGCCGAAGACCCGGGTTCGATTCCCGACATGGGTACAATGTGTGAAGCCCATTTCTGGTGTCCCCCGCCGTGATATTGCTGTAATATTTCTAAAAGCGGCGTAAAACCATACTCACTCA